GGAGGATGGGGCAGGGGGGGGCGGTGGTGGTGCTGGAAGTGCCAACGCAGGCGGCGGCGGCGGGATGGGGTGGCTGGTTCTGCCAGGGGAAGACGGAGGAGTTGGCGGGGGGGGATCGCAGACGCCGCGAAAGCGGGGGTCCTTTCAATCCAACGCCTCGGTGGACTTTGGCCTTACCACAGGCGCTGACGAGGTGTGTGTTGCGCTTATAGATACTAAAGGGGGCGTTTGTTTGGCTTCTCATCTCTCTTGCTATTTTTTTTCGGAGTGGCTGTTTCGCGGAGGTTGTTGTTGTTGTTGTTGTTGTTGTTTTGTTTCTCTCACATTAGCTCTATAGTCCACAAAAAATGGGGAGCCCGTGGTCGCAAAACCCGGCACATACGTCGCCGCGGGGAAACAAAACAAGAATAGAGTACAAACCACTCGGAAAAAGAAAAAGAAATGATAGAAAGAAAAGAACAGCTACCGCACCGACCGGTCGAGAAAAGGAGCCCTAGGAAACCGATCAAAATAAAGGCAAAAATAAAAAGGGAAAAAGGAGCGCTTCCCACACCCGCCTAAAAAATCAAAGGGTACCGTACCAGCATCAAGCACTACGCACCAGGGCATGGGAGTAATGGAGGCAACAGAACAAAGAGGCGGCAGATGGGCAGACAGCCATATATATTAAAGCTAAAGCTAAACGGCAAAAGGGAGATCAAGGTACCCAACAAGGCAGAGTAGGCAGGTGTGGGCGCAGGGAACGGGTACAGCAGTATAGAGATCGTTGTGTCTCCCCAAGGAGATGCGGGTGGCCTGATCAACAAGAAGAAGGCACGCGAGGGTAGCCCATACTTGTGTGAGTATCGCGCCTTGTTTCGAGTTGTGAGAAAGCTGTTTTGTTTCTTTGTGCCCTTGGCGGCAATACAAGAAGGAAGGTTGCTGCTCCAGTAAACGCGCTGGATCAGCCACCTGAGCGACGAGTGAAATGTGTCTTGGGACAAACGGCTGTTTGTGTTGCTTGCGTGACACAGGAACAGAGTGTCACTTGGAGTTCTTTGGCAAAGCTGAGATGCTAAACCGCCGCCGCCGTTCCTCCCTTCCGCGCCCCCCCGCGCGTGCTCAAATCCGTCTGTCTACGCCTTCCCCGCAGGGTTTGCTGGACTCGGAGGAGTACAGCCTGTGGGCGGCGTTTATGAAGCCAGATAGCCCCCCGCTGAGCCCTGCCCCGAGCCCCGGTTCTCAAGGGTTTTCTGTCGAGTCCCTGGACAAGGCAGGAGGGGGTCGAGACGGGGGGGCTGGAAGCGGTAAGAGAGTAAAAAAAAAAGATAAATCAGGAGCGTGCGCGTTGGATGCTGAAAGTAGAGAAGTCGCGATAGGGTCCCCAAATCTCCTCCGTCGAGCGCTGGACTGCATGCTGCTGTACGGGAGTGCGTCCGAAAAGACAGCATTCGGACTCGTCGGAAAGGATGTATGAGTGCGTTGTAGTTCTGCTGCGTGATCTACTGGAAGCTCGCCACGGCTGCCGCTTACCTTTCGGTCCCCTTCCCCCGCCTCGTCCCTGTGCTCTGACGGCCCCAACAAGGCCAAGCGAAGCCGTGCAGTCGCTCCACGAGCTACCAAACGCTTTCGGAGCTGCTGAGCACCAACGTGGGAACCCCCGGCATCTGCGATGACGACGATGGCAGCAGCGGCGGCGGCGGCGACGATGCTGCTGCTGCTGCTGCTGCTGCCGCTGCGGCGGCGGCGGTGGCAGCGGCAGCGGTAGCAGCGGCGTCTTCGGCATCGGCTGACTTCTTGGGGCTGAAGCAAGAGTTCGTTGACGAGAGCCTCCTGAAGCAGGAGTACGACAAGGACGAGGCGGAGGCGGGTTGGGGGGGAGCCGCGGCGGCGGTCGACGGCGGGAGACAGATCCACTCCCTCCAACCGGAGAAGAGAATGTTCTCAGCGTCGGAGACCTCCGCGAGCACGACAGCGGCAGGGTTCGGCGGTACCGCGGCGATGTCTGCGGCGGCGGGCGGCGGCGGCGGCGGGAATAGGAAAGGGTTGCCAGGGGCGTTGCTGGCCGCGCACAACGCGGCGGCAGCGGCCCAAGCGGCGGCGGTGGAGCGGCGGGGCTTCGTCGGGGACGAGCAGAAACGGAAGCGTTTCGACGAGTTCATCCTTGGCTTCCTGTCAATGTCGCTCTTCCAGGCCGCAGACATCTGGCTCCCGCTCTCATCGCGGAACGGCGGCGGCGGCGGCGGCAGGGACGGGGACCCAGCAGCAGAAGCGGCAGGGGGGAAGGGGAACAAGAAGGTGTCGCGGCTGTTCTTGTACAGCTCGAAGGTGCAGGACCCCGCGCTGGCGAAGTGGTCGAGCCTGAGCCGGAACGTGGTGCTGGCGAGCGGCGTCGGCCTCCCCGGGATCGTGTTTCGGGAGCGGAGGCCGCAGTGGGCGGTGAGTCTGCGTGTAGGGGGGTAGCCTTGATGAGAGTGCCACACTTTAACGGGGCCCCCTTTGGTGCGGCTTTGGTGTAGTGGATACATTGTTCGTCACGCACGCTCTTGGAAACCGAGTTTGGTTGGTTGTTTTTGCGATCCTCCTGTCGATTGTTGCCACGTTAGACCGGTGTCGTGTCGGCGCCGTCGATTTTGTTCCTGAGTCTAGGAGGCCAGTGCTGGTATCTCTTATGGTTTTTTGCCTAGTTGGGGGGATGGGACTGGGGGCGGGGCGGAGGGGGCTATCGTACAGTCCCTCTGTCGACTGGTCTTGTTCAAGCCACTTGGTCGGCGCCGGAAGGAGCGGTTGTGTTTTTGTGTTTGAAGCGCTTAGGAGCCCTCCCTTTCCTCGGGTCGAGAACGCGGTACCGCCTGCCTGTGATCAATCTCCTGACTGTTGTGGGCAGCAGCTGGTTGTCTTGTTGTTGCTGTTGTGGGGTCTCTCTGACTGCGAAGCCCTGCACAGCAGCGTGTGCCCGGGCGTGAGTGAGCTTCCCGCACCCACCGCCTGCTGCGATCTGCATTCCTTCGCGCACACTGCTGTGCGTGAATTTGCAAATTCCGACCCTGCTGCTGTATGCTAAACCTAAACCTAGACGACGGCAAGCAACACGCCCACCCACACCGCCACCGTGTGATCGATTGACCCAAACGAACCGCAACGCAGGTGGACTACTCGCAGGTGGACTCGGAGCGCAACCCGTTGGCCTCGGTGGCACGGCTGCTGGGCATCGGCTCCGCTTTCGGTGTTCCTCTATCGCTCGGGGCTGAAGACGAGTGCGGCGTGCTGATGCTGTATTCGATGTCCTGCCTTCCCCCGAGGTAAGGGCGGTGGTTTGCCTCGTGCTTCTTTCTCCCCCGTCAAGCCTGCTTGCAGCGGCGGAGAAGGCTTGATTTGCGGATCCCGAGGACCAGTGTGCCCCCCCCCCCCCCCGGCTCGTTCTTCGAATTCTCTCTCATCTCAAACGTAGTTTAGCAATTGTTGAATTTAGGGCTCCCAAGAGGGAGGGGGGCGTCTCCCCCGGTAGACATGGACGACTTACTACTGCATCGGATCAGATCTAGCTCCTATACGCAGCAGTACAGTTTTGAGTCTGAGAAGGATTTGCCAACATCCAACATGACAACAGGCTTGCTACGCCTTTGGCTAACACGCAAGACTTGGACTCGCACACGAAGCGCTGCTCTGGTGGTGGTGTTTCCTCGCTCGCATGTGGTGCTCAAGTTGGCATGCACCCGTGAACACCTTCTTGAGCACCTTCTGTAGTAGCGAACCCTAGGTTTTGGCGATGTTTTTCGTCGCGGCGAGCAGTTTTTTTTTCTTTTTGCAGCAGCAGCAGCAGCAGCAGTTCGTGCCGAAAGTGAACATGCAGCTCCTGTGCGTGACTACTCCCTCCCTATCTACAGCTTGTATGATGCACCACGGTTGAGGGAAGGAAGCTTCGAGCTGCAATTTAGCATAGCTCTTACCTTTCGGGTCTTTTGGTTTACGGCGGCAGCAAGAAGAATAAGGCTGGTCTCCGGATGGGACCCATCCAGAGTATTCCGAAAGACGGAAGACTCCTGCGTGCGGCACACGTGCAGGCGATCAACAGACACCGCTTGGAGGGGAACGGAACACGGCGGAAACGGGGGTATCCACAACTTACCGTCCCTTTTTTTTTTTTTTTTTTTTGCGGCGTGCGTCCTCCCATGTGTACGGACGGCGTTGCAGCGAGCTGATGGTGGAGTTCATGGAGAGATCGACGAGGCTCCTCCTCGAAGATGGCCCGGCTCCGACCACGGTGGTGCAGCAGTTCCGCGACAACCCGCCGTCCGCTAAGGACATCGGCCGTGTCGCCGGGGCGTACCAACACCACGCACTGTGAGTGAGCCGGCCATTTTGTGTACGGCAGTGATGACGCCCTTCCGGCTCTCCTCCGCTGTGGGCTTGTTTTTACCGTATGCCAAGACGGCCCCTTCTTTTGATATGCTTCTTGTTTGTCTTTGTCTCATCCATTCCTCTCCTTTCCCCCCTCCCTCCCGCGCCCGACTTTTTTTTTCCGGGTCTGGGGACGGCCATGTGCTTGCTCCCCCCGTAACGCTGTCGTCTCTCTCTCTCTTTCTCTCTCTCTCTTTCTTGGCGTCTCTTTTTGGCGTTCGTTTTGCTCACAGATGGGCAGAGCACCACGTGAGATCCAACGGCATCAACGGCAGCATCAACGGTGTCAGCATCGGGGGCACGCGGCGGAGCGGCGGCGGTGCGGGTGTCCCGGCATCGCTCTCCGCCAACCTGGTGCTGTCGCAGGACGGCAGTGGCGGCTTCGGCAACGGTGGAGTCGGTGGCGGCGGCGGCGGCGGCGGCGGCGGCAGCAGCAGCAGCAACAACAACAGCAACGGACGCTCGTCTCCCCTCATGGCCACCTTGTCGGAGTGCGCGGCCGCCGACTGGAGTGGTGACAGGGCCGCCCTCGCCGTGGCGGCGGAGGCGGCGGCCAGCGGCGGTCAGGGCGGCGGCTTCCGGCCGGACGGGGGCGCGGTGGCCTTTGTGCCGCCCCCCCCCCAAGAAAGGCCCGGGAAGAAAGCCGCGACCCCCCCCCTCCTGATCGAACGGATTGATCGGAACAGCCAGCCTACGGTCGACGACAAACCCTGGAAATGATCCCCGGGAAACGCAGCCAAGGCCGGCGAGCCAAAAACCGGGTATGTCGCTCCGTCCCGGCATTGTAA